TATATATATATATATATATATATATATATATATATATATATATATATATATATAATTATATATATAATTGTTTGTTAGTTACTTATTGCAATAATTATTTTATAATTATAATAATACCTATTTCCTATATTTCTTATAATAAATTATTATTCATAAAAAATATTTAATTATGATTCTTTATTTTTTATTATTAATTAGGTTGTTCATAGTTTTTATGTACTTATAATTATCTAATAATTTAAATTATTATTTAAATAAATATTTAAAATTTATTATTATTATTATTATTATTATTATTTATTGTTATTTTACAGTTCCTATTATTTAATACAATAATCATTTTTAGTTTTATTAATTTTGTTTTATGTAATTATTAATCAGTTTATGGATTGTTTATTATTTAATAATAACAATAATAATAATACATATTTTATTAGTTTATTTTCATATTTTCAGGATTTTTAAATTTATAATAGTTAATTGTTATTATTTATTAGTTATATACTATATTATTTGTTAATAGTTTATTATGTACTTATTATAATTATTTAATAATAATAATAATAATAATAATGACTATTATTATGGTTTATATTTTACAATTATTTATTACATTGTTAATAATGATTTTAAACTTTCTGTTGTTGTTATTAACGGTGTTTACAGTAGTGTTTTTCTGCAGTTGGACTAAAACTCACATCTGCTGTCGGAGCCGCTCTGTTTCTGAGCTCAGCTGATCTTGGATCTGTGTGTTCTGCTGCTTCAGGAGCTCCAGCTGATGGACACAAACAAAGAAACACACATTAGACTGAGCTGGGGTCAGTGGAAACATTCAAAAACACACAGAAAAAATGCACATCGTCAACTGTTGTGTGCTGTTGGGTCATTTTCATCCACTCATGATGTTGCTGATCAGCCATCAGACATGGAAACTAGACATGTTAACTTTTTGATTGATACATCATGAATGCTTTATGGTAAGACTACAGTATTATGGTTCCCAAATGTTCCCACAGGTTGTACGGTGTCTTTTATTCTATTACCACATAACAAAAAACTGTGGTAAATATGCATTCAGGAGTCTTTCCAATGATATATGGTTTAGATCCGTATTTAATAATCCACCTAAAGAAGAGTGGATAGTGACTACAACGATATATTTGAGATCTTTAGATAAATTCAATATAAATTTGGTGTAAATGAATATCACATATAGTAAATGGAGGGTGTAAAAGTCCTTTTATTTCTGATAGTGGGGGATTATAAGCCTTATCAAGGAAATTACTGTCATAAAAAGACTAATAATTGTATTTCTAATTATGTTTTGTGTGTACGTTTGTGTTAAAATAAATAAAAAAGCATTAAAAACTTTACACATTTAACATTTATATAGAGAGAGTTTGAAATGAACAATAATAAATTAAAAATAAATCTTGTTTTTATTAAATCAGGGAAAATAAAAGCACAAATAAATAAAAATAAAAGCAGATGTCAGACGAAAGTCTTCAAGCAAACCTTGAGAAACCGACAGTCAGAGAGTGTGTTCCTGCGAGAGCTGTAATTGAGTCCATCACTGTGTTAATTACACTTGTCAGCAGCACAAACACACAGCAGACTATCATTAACATCATTTACATCAGCGATGATGCAGACTTTACATGCTGAAACTCTTTTGTGACGGAGTAATAATACTGCCACTAATCAATCAAATATAATACTGACAATAATCAATCAATATGATACTGACAATAATCAAACATCATACAATCAGAAATAACACACACACTAGAGCTTTTCCTTGCTCTAAAATAAAAACATATATGCATTAGGAGGTACAGATAAAAATGATCTTATTTAATCACCAATATCAAACATTTTATTAAATATCAGGACTAAAAAAAGCAAACAATATTTAAAACTTTGTGGGAAAATCTGTCCTTTTCTCACATTTATTTAGATGCAGAATTTATTTAAATGCACAAGCGGTTATTGAATCAAACATTTGCTCCTGTAAAGAAAATTTAATTAATGAAAGAATTAAATAAAGTTCAAAATAAAATATAAAGAATGATAATAATAATAAAAATAAAATGATAAAATAAATAATAATAAATTAATAAAAAATATATAGAATTAATATAAAATAAAGTACAATGTTGAAATCAAAAATTAATATAATGTAATGTAAGCAAATAAAATTAAAACATTTAACAAGCAAATAACAGAATAAAATTTTTAAATAAAAGTAAATATAATATTGAATTTAAAAATAAAATAGAATAAAATGAAATTGACTAAAATGAAATAAAATAAACGAAATAACTAAAATAATCAAATATAAAATTTATATAAAACAAATAAAATATAATACAATAAAATAAACAAAATGAATTAACCTTTATACATTTAATTAATAACATTATTTTTATACAATTAAATAAAAATTAACATTAAATGAAAAAAATGAAATAAAATATAATAAAATATTTAAATAAAATAACAAAATATAACATTGAATTTAAAAAATAAAAAATGAATCAGAAATATGTCAAAACAATAATCTGAATAAATGCACGCATTCTTGGTAAACATACAACAAACATCAGTCAAATTAAACCTCCAATCAAGAATAACACAGGCTTTAACAATGCAATCCTCCACAGAAAATGCTGTAAACGGACCAAAACAATTCCTGAATTCCTCAATCAGCTCCAGCAGAAGCATTAATAAATACAGTATAAATAAATAAATATATATCTCTCTCCAGCAGAAGAGGCTGTACCTGACAGAGCGAAGAATAAACCGTGTAGTTCACATCCATGCTGTGTGTCCTTTCTGTTCCTCCAAACAAATGAGCTCTATCAATAAAGCATGGCCAGCGGCCCCCCGCGCTCACACTCACACACACTCATACACACACGCGTCTGCTCAGCTCACGTTTGCAGAAAACACACGCTCCAAGCAGCAGCACTCGGGCACATTCATTATGTAAGGACGACAAGCCCCGCCCACATTAACACCCCCCCCCCCCATCCTAGTTCCACCCACATTGACACCCCCTGTAGGCACCGCCCCCTCAGCACTCGTTCATCTCCATCAAAGGAATCGCATCCATTTATTCTTCATTTCTAGGAGGATTTGTTAAAAAATATATGGTTAGGAAAAACTCAAATATATGCTACCCTTCTGAACTTGACATTGATCTTGGTTTCTTTAGTGATAATGATTGAATTTGATTATGAAAGATTAAAAATGATTCTAAACAGATCCAAACTTAATATTTGCAGTTTGACTTTGTTGATTAATTGTTTCTTTATATTTGTTGATTTAGTATTTTCTGCATTCATTATTTTTCTGTTTTTCATTTTAGTTTTTTGTGTAAAATAATATATTTATTTTTACTCCAGAAACACAAAATCTATGACTAACATTAACACAAAAACTAAATAAACAGATCCAAAACTGGAAAGTTTGACTGTGTAGATTATTTGTTTCTCCATTTTACGTTGATTTATTTAGTTTTTCTTTAAGCCTAATGTGATTCATTCTATGTGCATGTATAACATATGAACCGACATATGACATGAACGTGTATCTACTAAATCTGAATTTGCTTATCAATAAATATTCATATAAAATATTAATATATTGAGTAAAATATCAATTCAAAACATCTAAAATCTGAACACAGAAAAAATACAATCATATTTATTCATTAAATTATGGTAAATTATAATTCTTGTTACTTCTCATCAATTCAAACTCCCACTTAATATGTCATTACTGTTTTATTTAGAAGCTTTATTTACTGATCTGCCATATTTATCATAGTCTTTTTCTCAAGGTCAGTAAAATATGTATTAATTCTGGTGGAAATGATGAAAATATTACTATTATTACTAAACTAGCTGAAACAAAATGATTATGAAACTAAACTCTTGCAATTTTGAAATAAAAGTGTCCGGACCAAAATGAAACATTAAAAATAAATTCAAGCTAAATAAAATATTTAAGAAGTTAAAATGAAAACAGCAGATAACTAAACGCAATCTGTAACATAAAGTAGCAATGCTTTTGTTGCATAAAAAACATGATATTTCTTTATATTCAATATATATTTGATATAAAATGTTGAATTTTAATTAGGTTTAAGTTACTTTATTTAGTTTTCTTTTGATTGTTTTTATTATATACATTTTTATAATGAGAGTAGCATATATTTAATTATACATTTTCATAAAAAACTCATGTTTATGCTGCTCTTTTGAACTTGATATTGATTTGTGAATCCTGAAAAATACATTTATCTTGGTTTTACAAAAATATATATATTTATATAACTGATAATAATCATAAAATTTCTCAATTGATCATGCTGTGCAGATTTTTTAAGAATCATAAACACTGAAGACGGGAGTAAAGATGCTGAAAATGTAGGTTTGTGTCACAGAAACACATTATATATTGCAAAGTAAACCACGCTTTAAAGGAGTGATAGTATATTCTCTTCTGTCCTGTATTATCTGTGTCATAAATGCTGCTGTGTGAAGCAGAAGAGACTCTTTAACAGTATATATGATAAAGCTGCTGTCAGAGACTTCAGTCGTCTCTCAACGACACAAAAAAAGAAAGAAATTCAGGCTAACCTAAATTAACTCGGCTTTTATAAACCTTGAGGGGACAAAAGTCCAAAATGAGGTCAAAAGAGGTTAATTTCCAAAACAGAAACCAAAAATACATTTAAAGAGATGATTCAGTCAAGAATGAACTTACATTTGAGTCATTTAAAGACGTTTTTGACTCTAATAAAGCATACATTTATCTTAATATACTGTATATGTGGATATTGAAGAATCATGGTAAATGAATATACCAGTAATTATCTGAAAGTCAACACTAAAGGCAGATATTCTGCTTTGACGTGTGTGTTCTGTTTTAGAATGTCTGTCTTTGCTTTGATCTCTATAGCTCCGCCCACTGTCAGTTTAACCAATTATATTTCAGCTCTCTGTCAGACAGTCCTGAAGGCTCTCAATGCGTGCGGCAAATAAAAATACACGTGAGGTGGTTTTTAATTAGCCAATAAAACAACATTAGCTAAGCAGCTTTCAGTGTACATCTTGATCTTCAGGCACGCTTCTGTTTGTGTTGTCAATCTGGCAACATGAGTGTGTGTATGTGTGTGTGTGTGTGTGTGTGTGTGTGTGTGTGTGTGTGTGTGTGTGTGTTTGGAGGCAAGGTGGGAAAAAAAAGTCTCTAATATGTAGAACTCATCCGTTCATTTTCTTTTCGGCTTAGTCCCTTTATTATTCAGGGGTTGCCACAGCGGAATGAACTTATCCAACATATGTTTTGTGCATCGGATGCCCTTTCAGCTGCAACCCATCCCTGGGAAACACCCATACACACTTCTTCACACTCATAAACTACAGGCAATTTAGTCTACCCAGTTCCCCTATAGCGCATGTGTTTGGAATGTAGAGCACCCAGAGGAAACCCACGCCAACACGAGGAGAACATGCAAACTCCACACATAAACACCAACTGACCCAGCCGGGACTCGAACCAGCAACCTTCTTGCTGTAAACCGATTGTGCTACCTATTGCACCACCATGACGCCCCCAATGTTTTGAATTTGCACTGTAATATGTAGATCAATCTGCACCTTAACCAATTATATTTCAGCACTCTGGGTTGCCAGTGAGTGTTTTATTCCAGTCATGAAGGTTGTTAATGTATGTGGACACAGCTGGAAATGCGCCCTCTGGAGGAGAAAAGCAGACGCGTAATTGCAGCTGTTTGTGTCGTCAATCTGGCAACCTTCCTTTGTGTTTGTTGAGTAAAAAAAGATTATATTACTTTATATAGAAGCTCGCTTGGTTGCTGGTTTGAGTCTCGGCTGGGTCAGTTGGTGTTTCTGTGTGGAGTTTGCATGTTCTCCCTGCGTTGGCGTGTGTTTCCTCCGGGTGCTCTGGTTTCCCCCAGAGTCCAAACACATGTGGTACAGGTGAATTGGGTAGGCTAAATTGTCCGTAGTGTATGAGTGTGTGTGTGAATGAGTGTGTGTGGATGTTTCCCAGAGATGGGTTGCAGTTGGAAGGGCATCCGCTGCGTAAAAATGTGCTGGATGAGTTGGTGGTTAATTCCGCTGTGCCAACCCTGGATTACTAAAGGGACTAAGCCGACAAGAAAATGAATGAAAGAATTACTTTATAATAAATACAATATTTAATATGAAAATTTAAGATGTCAATCTGGCAACCCGCCTGTGTGTCGAGACCAGAACTCTCTCCAATGTTTTGATTTTGGACTGCTATAAAAAAAATGATCACTTTCACACAAAATACACAGATATAACCTGCTAACACTGCTCACATGCTCGTAAGACCTGCAGGCTAATGTAGAGCAGAATGTTGTGAAGTGGTGTATGAGTGTTTGACTGCTGTACATGCACACACACACACACACACACACACACACACACACACATTCGCGCACACATGCTCAGAGCAGTGCTGAGATCCTTATGTAAGTGCAGAGATCAGGCTTTATATGCAGTGCTCAGATGGACACACTCACTCATGCATGAGGAACAGCCTGTGGAAACATCTGAAATAATCCTGAGCAATTGCATGCAAATGTCAACCTTGCCATGAATAAAATTACGTGTTAAAGGGTCAGGAAACACCAGAACACATGTGTTGAGCTGTTGACAGTGGTATATGTGTCCCACACTGCTATAAACACTATTAGGACACCTATATCTCACTAAACAGTGTAAATTGCTTGTTTTTACGTTATTTAAAGCAAATTTGTTCTTCCGGTTTGAAACGAATTTTTGAAGTTGCGTCACGGTCATGAGATCTTAGCGTGTATTCCAGCGTGCAGACTGGACGTCTGTACCTGGGTCTTATTGAGTCTCTGACTGTGCTGCATATTCATTCATGAGTATGGCTTGGTTCAAACCAATCAGCACGCTCTATTGTGCAACTTCATTAATATTCATTACTGTCACAGTGTTTAGACGACAGAGACGCCACGTTGTGTTGCCAAAAGGAGTGGGAACAGAATAAGAGATGTTTGGAGGTACGGGTCACCAGTGTTGTGTTTATAATGTGCTGCAGGGAAGGTTTTGTTTTCATTTTCTCTCTATGCTGGACTCACGTGTGGATCCGTGTACGTGACGCGCGGCAGAAATAAATTTTTTTTACATTTTTGACTCGAGAGCAGTTCTCATCTGGATATGGTGAGATCTGGTCTCCTCTTAATAAAGACGCAGCTCCAGTATGTGCTGATTGTCCTGTCTCTACAGATTTGGTCAGTGTGTGTGATCAGCGCCCTTTCTTTGTTCATTTAGATGGTAAAGTTATAGTTGGTATGGTCAGCAGAACTCTCTCAGTGTTTACAGACAGATCTTAGTCAAAATCATTTCTAAGCTACTTAGTTTACGATAACATCACGGCTTTCTGACCTACTGAGTGCATCTGAGCTACCGAGAAATGCAGAGGTTATTTTCTCTTATACGACGTGCGGTATCAAACATTCCACCGTCATTAAACACACTGTCTTTCTCCCCTGCGTGTGTGTGTGTGTTTTTCCTTGGTGAAAATCAGCGCATGCCCAAATGGGGACTCCCATTTTTATTCAAATCCTTCCCCTTTTCCCTCCCCCGACACTCCCACCCAAACAGAGCTAGACACACCCACTTTCCTGACTTTTTCCAAAGTAGAGGTGTGGAAACACCCAGCTGAAACGAGGGGGTTCATGGCTCTTTAAGAAACACAGTTTGTCCTGCTGAGTGTGTATTATAGGAGATGTGCAAACAGTGCTGACCTGCTCCTGTAGCTCTTCATTCCTCTGCGTCGTCAGCTTCAGCTTCTCATCATTCTGTGTGGGAGGAAAAACACTTACTCAAACACACACCCATCAGGTAGAATTGCTTATCACACAATTTAATTAAATTAATTGTAATTTAAATTAAGTTATTGCACATTTCAGGATTTTACAGTGATAACAAAACATTTAATAAATTCATTCATTTTTTTGTAATTCCTGTAAAATCCTGAAATGTGCAATAACTAAGGTATTTTGTACAATTTCTTTCAAAATTTAAAAGCATAACAATGCAAATATATGCAAATGAATGCAATTTCTCTTATCCAATACAATTCAGATGCAGAAATGTATAAATCGGCTGAAATGTGAACATATTTGAAGGTCTATCCTGCTTATTAACAGTGCATTGATTGGATATGGTAAATACAGTACAAACAGTAAAACATCCCTCTTTGAACTAGCCGCATTTAGTATGAGTAAATATTAAAGTGCAATTGATATCTGTGATCGAGCATCAGTGTTGATCAGTGTGATCTGCTGTAGAAGTGTGTGTGTTGTGTGTGTTTTGCGTCAGTCACCTGTGTGTGTTTTCTCTCCTCCTCTTTCTTTTGTTCTCTCCGCAGATCCTCCAGCTGATTTCTCTCCGTTTGCAGCTTCATTTCCATTTCTGCATCCACACAAAACACGCAGAGCTCAATGAGTCAGTGGCTCGTGATTATTCAGTCAAAGTATTTAGTTTGAGAGTAAATCTTAATGTATTTGAATGAAAAAGGAGCATGTTGTGTTAAAACTATTTTGATTTTACAAGACTGTACTGTAAATAATATCCGTTGATGATATTTATATGTTTATTAGCGGTGGTGAACTGCATTATGGGATGTTGATCTCTGCTCTGTCCACTTCTGATGGTGTAAATTTAACTCTGCAGTTTAACAAAGTGACTTTTACTGACATTTTACTGATAAATAATATGTAGAGAAATAATCCTGTAAAATAAGAGAAAATGTTCCTCAGATTATTACAAGTTTTCTGCAGCTTAATATAGAACACCAACACAGACAATACAGCACTGCAGACTAGTACACAAGTGCAGGAAAGACACTTTTCACAATTAAATGTTCGTGATCTCATAATGCAACCTCATTGCAAAAATAAAAGGGGAAAAATAAAAAACATGAATCACTGGCATTTGGGATTTCAACATCAGTAAATGTGAAAAAGCTTGTTGTGTTGTAGTTTTGGAGCATGTAAATGTGTTTATCAGTGGTGTTTTGCTCACCTTGCATGGCCAGTGTTGCTTTATTTCTGTCCTCTTCTGCTGCTTCGAACTGCTGCTTCTACAGTCAGAAACAACAATAAAGCATATTATTCATACATTTAATTAATTACAGTAGGAAACATAAATAGTATGGAAGTCAATGGTTACAGATTTCCTACATTTTTCAAAATACTTTCTTTAACATTTAACAGAAGAAAGAAACTAATAGCAGCATTTGAGTGAGTAAATGAGGATGAAACGTTGATTTTTGGGTGAACTATCTCTATAAAAGTCCCGTGAAGTGCTTTGAAATGTGCATATTTCATTAGATGTTTGACGTCATCTCAACTGAAACATGAAGAGAGGGTGTGGTATAGAGTAGCTCCTCCCCTTATTTAAAAACAGCCAATAGTGTCTTTGTTTTTCTCACAGCTCTGCCAGTGAGAGTGGTCGAACTCAAGTGCATCACATGAATAGATAATGAGAAGAAGGGGGCGGGGCAAGTCCGACACTAGAGAGCATTTGATTGGTCAGGAGGTTTGATAAGAAACTGAATTATGAGGTGAAGGGAACAAATTCTTGATCCATTTAGGCAGAAGTGCAAAACTGCAAACGGCAGACGTGTACATCAGGTTTATGTCTTCTACATGTGGATGCTATCACTGTTGTGGAGACACTAGATTACAGATATCCTGATGCTATCATTTAAAACACTTTACTTTCGTTTCACAGGATATTTAGCAGTCATTGTGAACACAAGTGTTGAGTTTTAGAGTGCTGTAGACAGTATGGCGCACGCACCAGATCGTGGAGCTGCTGCTGGACGGATGTTTTCTGCTCTTCTGAAGCGCTGAGTTTCTGCTGGAGGAAGATCAGCTCCTTCTGTCGGGTCTCCAGCTCAGAGTTCAGCTCTTTGATCTGCACAGCAACACAACACCACACCCGCTCTGTCTACATCTGCACGTTACCAATGCGCATTACAGAATATTGCATAAACAGTTTTGTGCATAAATCTAAAGCCAGTGAGCAGTGCTGAGCAGGTCAGGTGTGCTCCTGTATAATCTGGAGTTCAGGATGACCTGCAGAGGGTGGGATCTGACCTTTTTGTCCTGCAGGGGTGGAGATGCGGATCCGGAGGTCTCGGCCCGCAGCGTGCGGAGCTGAAGGTGCAGATCAGACACCTCCTTCTCCAGCTCCATAATCCTGGAGCGCTCCGATACTGTGGCCACCTGCAGAGACACATACACACACAATGTTAACACATTATACACACACACACACACACACACACACACACACACACACACTATAAGCATACACACTAGAGCTGCTCAATTATAGGAAAAATGTTGTTCACTCATTCTCCTTCAGCTTAGTCCCTTAATTCATCAGGGATCGCCACAGTAGAATGAACCATCAACTATTCCAGCAAATGCTTTACACAGCGGATGCCCTTCCAGCTGCAACCCAGTACTGGGAAACACCCATACACACTCATTCTCTCACACACACACACACACACACACACACACACACACACACACTGGTGAGGAGGAGGAGTTTGTTAGTTTGTATTTCCTCTCCCCAAACACTTTCCCAGATCTTTCTGAATGACACGCCTACTTTACTACATCCAATCAGCTCACACTAGAAGAAACAAGCCACGCCCATTGTTTTCTCATTTAATATTCCGATTCTCTTGGAACTGCGTCACAATACAAAAAAAAAACAGTCGCAGCTTCTGGTTCATGCTGACTTTAAGATGACTTTAGGAGTGTGCGTCTCTGAGACTCGCAGGAAAGTGCAATGAATAAAATGAATGTGCCAACACTAGTGTGCTGCATGCATAGGTTGTTTATATATATCTGACCAATCAGAAGAAGCCTTTACTACTTTAGCTCCGCCTCTCTAGTAGCTGAACCTCGAGCTGAATATAAACACTAATGCACTGAAATCACAACAATCAGAATTAACCCGAGTGTAAATGTTGAATGCTTTAGCTTTGTGCTTTACTTTTAGGTAACATCAGCTCTACACTGAAGAACCATTTAATTGATTACAATTATTCGTAGAATTTAATAAAATAATCCTGGTTACAATTTTAAATTGAACAATATTTCAAATTTTTACCGTATTTTTTTAACTGATTATAGATTTTTTGATCGAATAAATGCAAATTATTAAAAATTTTTTATAAAAATTAACAGTAAAAAAAATGTAAACAAAGCAATGCAAACCTACATTACTAGTAAAATAAATGCACTTCATTACTAATCACGAATTTCCCAACATTACAGTGAACTTTCGAGAGCTGTGAAGAAGTTCTTGTTTCGATGTTGCATTAATAAATGTCTCTCAGAGATGATGCACTGGTGAAAACAGACCTACCTCAATCCATCACTGAATAAAACAATAATCAGTTTCCCCAAAGCAGCAGAATGACTGTGCATTTACCCTAGTATCCTCTAACTCCCTCTGCAGTTTATCTGCTTTGGTCTTTTCAAAGAGAAGACTCTGTTCGAGCTCCTTAATGTGGGCATGCTCCAGTTTGGTCTGCGTCTGTTAGTAGACAAGAGGAAAGAGAGGAAGAGAGAGAACGAGCGAGCGTCACGTGCAGCCAAAAGCCAAGTACCAAGAGCTTCATGCAGATCCTGACATCATCCATTGACAACAACAAAGACACACACACACACACACACAGAGGGAGAGAGCAGATCCTTCAAAAACACAAAGATGTGAAACTAATGCGACGGCTCTGAGCGGATGAGGGATGAGGCTAAGAGTAACATAAGAATAAATGAAAATCAAGAGAGCGATCAAAGATGAAAAAGAAAAATGGAAAAATGAATGAGTGATGAGAGAGTGAGTGAGTGAGTGAATGATTGGAGCGTATGAATGAATGAGTGAATGAAGTGAGTAAATGAATGTGTTTGAATGAATGAGTGAGTGAATGAATGAGTGCAAAAATGAATGAGTGAGTGAAGGGAGCGAGAGAGTGAATGAATGAATGTGTGCATGAATGAGTGCCTGAATAAATGAATGAGTGAATGGAGTGAGTAAATGAATGCGTTTGAATGAATAAGTGAGTGAATGAATGAGTGCATAAATGAATGATTGAGTGAAGGGAGTGAGAGAGTGCATGAATAAATGTGTGCCTGAGTGAGTGCCTGAATAAATGAATGAGTGAATGGAGTGAGTGAGTGAGTGAGTGAGTGAGTGAGTGAGTGAGTGAGTGAGTGAACGAATGTGTATAAATAAATGAGTGGGTAAGTAATTGAGTAAATGAATGTGAGAATACAGTGAGTGAATGAATACATATGAATGAATGAGTGAGTGGGCGAGTGAATTGAATAAATGAAAGAGTTAATGAGTGACTGAGTAAATTAATAAATCAGTGAATGAATAAATGAATGAATAAGTGACTGAGTAATTAATTGAATACAAATGAATAAATAAATGAGTGAGTTATTGATTGAACGAATGAATGAGTGAGTGAATGGAGTGAGTGAGTTAGTGAATGCGTATGAATGAATGAGCAAATGAGTAAGTGAATGAGTGGAGTAAGTGAATGAATATGTATGAATGAATGGGTGAAGAGTGAGTAAATGAGTCAGTGTATGAGTAAATGAATAAGTGAATGAATAAATGAATAAGTGAATGTGTATGAATAAGTGAGTGGAGTGAGTGAATGAATGCGTGAATGAGTAAGTGTATGAGTAAATGAATGAATGAGTAAAAAATAATGAGTGAGTGAATGAATAAAGTGAGTGAATGAATGCAAATGAATAAATGAATGAGTTGAGTGAATGAATGAGGTAGTGAATAAATGCGTGGAGTGAGTGAGTGAATGCGTATGGATGAATGAATGAGTTATTGAGTGAATGAATGCGTATTAATGAATGAGTGAGTGAATGAATGAATGAGTGAGTGAATGCGTATGAATGAATGAGTGAATGGAGTAAGTGAATGTGTATGATTGAATTGAGTTATTAAGTGAATTGAATGTGTATGAATGAATGAGTGAGTGAGTGAACGGAGTGAATGTGTATGAATGAATGAGTGAGTGAGTGAACGGAGTGAATGTGTATGAATGATTGAGTGAGTGAGTGAACGGAGTGAATGTGTATGAATGATTGAGTGGCGTGAGAGAATATGTATAAATGAGTGAATGAATGAGTGAATGGAGAGAGTGAGTGAATATGTATGAATAAATGAGTGAGAGAATATGTATAAATGAATTATGAATGAGTGAGTGAATGAGTAAGTGCATTAGTAAGTGAATGAATGAATGAATGAATGAATGAATGAATGAATGAATGAAGAGCAAGAATGAATGAAGCATCATAGAATGAACGCAACAGCAGCTGAAACTGAAGTGTTGACCTACAGACAGCTGAACGAGTGTTTCTTCTCCACTGAAACTCTTTCCAACTCTCACACTTTATTCATGTCTACCCATCTATCATCCACCCATTCAATCATTTATTCATCATTCACTCATTCATCTATCCATTCATCAACCCTTCCATCAATTATCCATCCATCATCATCATAATCCATTCACCCACTTGTATGAACATTCATGTATGAACGTGTGAAATCTCCTGCTGATGTCTGCATTAGCCCAAAGTGTTGTGTGTGTTTAAGTCAGTGTGTGTGTGTGTGTGTGTGTGTGTGTGTATCCAGTTTCAGTGTAATGTATATGTCAGGATCTCTTTACCTCCAGGTCTCCTTTGGTAATGCACGCTTCCTCCACCCGAAACTGCAGATCCTCCACTTTTCTGTGGGATAACACACTCTTCAGACCCTCACGTTTACTCACACCTTTACCTGCAGCAGTGGAGCACTTATGATCTTCAGCATCACCTTTTCTCCTCCTCCAGCTGGTTCATCAGCTCCACTTTATCTCTGTCTGCGGTCTCCACCAGTCTCCGCAGCTGGTCCAGCTTGGCCTCCATCTCCACGGCATACTTTAGGATATGTCAAATAAATGAAGTGGAATAAACGTCCGTATATCAAAGATATGATGTAAGCTGACGCAGCGCTTCTTGTCTGGTCTGAGGAACACTTTAAATATCTTAATCTAATCACCTGCTCCTGTGCCTGTGTGAGCAGCGCCAGCTCCTGCTGCACCTCTCCGGCGTGGCTGGTGGCTCGGGCCACTTCCGTTCTCTCCAGGTCTCGCTCAGCCAGAAGCTGCTCGATGTGCTGCTGTTTCTCCTTCAGCGCCTCCTGCAGCGCCGTGGTTCCTGAAATCTTGCGTGCGTACCGTACCGACGTCTCTGTGAGCTGAGAGACCAGAGAAAAACTGTGATGAGGAGGAAAAACTGCCAGTGCAACTAAATGAGATGTATTTAATGAGAATTAAACAAAGCACATGTCACAGTCAAGATTGTTCCCTTGCCTTAAATGTATAACTGCAGCCTTTTTGCCATCATAAAGAGGTTTTAGGCAACCTTAAGTAAGAAAAATGTGTTTTAAATATCATTTCACAAGTTCACACTCCCAGATATTTGACTGAAGAGAATATGTGTATTTGGCGTGCTGTCCAGGGAGAGGGCTCTAAGCTGGGAAAGACACCCTAACTCGTGTTATTCCCCTTATCAGGATAGAGTGCGAGCACAGGCACCAGAACACTCCCCCTCAGGGTATTCAGGTTTAATAGTGTGGAGCTGGGGTGGTAGAGGGACGCTGAAGTCAAGAGAAAATGTAGATATGACGTGTTTGACTATAGGGGATGGTCTTGAGCTGATTGGATAATAGAATAATTGTCAATGATGAATTAGACTCGTCAAAAACTGATCATGCTTCTCCTGAAATTTGTTCATAAAACATCACCGACTGCCATTAGAATCTTAAATGCTGGGTTATAAGTGAGAATAGAGTTAATTGAGTTTTTTTATTGTGATTTATGTGATGATATTGAATGCATTTGTGCTACTCATTTTTTGTTATATACGTGATGTGAACGCTGATGTGATTGTGTGGTGAAGCCAAAGATAAATTTCCACTTGCGGACAATATAGACCAATTACCATGTTTGTAAACGTTCAGGATGTGCGCGCAGAAAGGTTGCAGAACAAACCGGGAGCGCCAGCATTTACAGCGAGGGAATGACATCAGATGCGGTGCAGAGTTTGTTGTTGTCTTAGAAATAAGATATATTACTTACACATTATATATATTATTTACATAATATCAAAATTAACGTTAAAGTGAGCGGCGTTCATCTGACAGCTTCAATTGCGATAGCACCCTCCCAATGGAGATTGGATAAGACGAAATGGCCGAGCATCCAGCCCCAAATATACAATCTCAATGAAGCTACAAGTGATTTTACAAGAGAGAAGTTAAAGGTCTACAAGTCTTTGGATGCCAACAACGATGTTCTTTGTGGTCATGTGCAAGAAATAATGCTCCATGATGACCAGATTTAACACTATGTAGAGCTAAAAATGAGGTTCTGCTTAGCCAAAGACAAGGAAAGAAGACGGAGTTAATTTAATACAAGGCCTGGGTAATTAATCACCGACACGCAAAACGACTGCATTCTGACAGCAAACTGCACCTGTACGGCAGGGTATGTGAACGAGGTAAAGTCAATTTTATATTCGCACATTCAGACTTTCTCTTTAACAATATAATTTCATTAAAGTATTATTTGCAAACTCTAAATAGCGAAATCTTATTAGCAGCCAATGACTATCAAAGTACAACATGTTGACAGTCAAGTAAACAGTGATGATGTTGTTTTCAAGTCACACTTGCAGGTTATTTCAGACCCAATATTCAAAGTGCTGTGATAAACAATATAGGGAGTTTGTCACAAGTTGTCACTGAATGAATGTGTGAATATAAAACCAAGTTTACCTTAATAAACGTAACTTTCACGTTTCATTCTTAGCATTCAGTGTCCGCAGTTTAATTCACCACATTTAACTGTTTTTGCTGAAATCATTTCAGCAATCAAAAACGAGTGATGTGTCTGATTCAGCATAGCGTCAACTGACCTGATATGACATGAGCACTGCAGAGTCCAGCATTTCTAATTAGCTCCTCACTTCATTCAGCTCTCATTTAGCCAAAGACGTCTGCAGTCGGTATTAAAGCAGAGTGTGGTGTATGCTAAAAGTTACGTTTTCTATTTTTGGACTCGAATTCGGCATCCTACCGCACAAAACAACATTTTTCCCATTGCAGCCGGTCTTTTTTTTGCAACCGGGGACCCGTGTGACGTCTTGTGTGACGTAGGTTGGTAATTGGTCTATAGAAAGGCAAGACAAATGTATCTAATGAGAATTAAAGTTGTGATGCACTGCACTGATTCTATCAGTTAAATGGTTCTCTGATATCTACAAAGTAGGTTTATGGCTTCGGTAAGTATAAAAAAAATCTTTTTATATCGTTTTATATGCTCATTTAATACTCCATACAACACCTCTAGAATCAGAAGCTCCATAATTGACCATATTTGTATCGTGTCATAAATATTAATGAGCTCGGCTCTGATGTGCAGCTTTCACAGACACGCACAGATTACACAGTGTGTTGTTCATTGTAGAGCTCCTCTATTTAAAACAAGAGAGAAATCCTGCAAGTTCGGAAACAGATCAAGTCTCAGCCAGGTACTGACCATAAAAAGTAACACAACCCGTTACTTTTTAGAGAAGTAACTCAATATTGCGATGCATTACTTTCAGAAGTAACTCCCCAGCCCTAATGATGACAGCAGTGGAAAAGGAATTGGAGAGTAGGCTACACTGTGCCCCTCCCCCATGAGGGCGTGGCTGAAATCTGCAATAATAACACAGATTTGAATAAGAATGCATCCATGCATCCTCAATATCAAGAACACATCCGGGAACTTTTGACGTGTTTTGAAGAACGCATATTGAGAAATAGCCAAGGTCAATAATATTAGTGCAAATAAAGCAAACATTCTACTGCAACAAAGTAAACATTCTCAGCACAGCGTGATGGTAGGCTTCAGGGAACAGCCAGTGCTGATCACATCAGTGTAATCGTTTGTGTCAAAGGGTTAAAAGTGTTTTATTATTATTTTTCTTTCATTATTCGTTATTCCACCGTGTACCACTAAAGGAAGCCTGCGTAACACCACTGGTACACTGACCACAGTTTGAGTACCACTGCTATAGACCATTTCGATGTGGTCATATCATTGGCCCATGAACTTTTCCTGCTTGTTATAAAACTATTTCATAACTGTAACAAGAGGCAATTTAACCATAACTTAACGTTAAAACAGCTATCATAATATAATTGATCAATATGTGGCTATTTTAGGATTCTCAGAAGCTATAGAAATTAAAAATGTGAAGCAGGACATCCGTTGGGACCATTGATTTTGTTTTCAACCCTCAAAATGATCTATACCCGTTTACTATTAAAGTTAGATTAGATTAAATATTACTAATTTATCTCAGGAGTTTATCTAAATGAAACGGTCAAAGTAAACATCAACATATAAATCTTAGTTCAGTGTTCTTAATAGTGTTCTCGCGAGATGTTTTACAGTACCAGGCCAGCCCGGCTGGGTTTTCCTCCAACCGAAGAGGTGACAGAGCTGAGGGAGCTGACGGAGGATGCACTAGGGCTGTTCTTCAGGGTCGACCGCCGTCTGGATGCTTTGGATTTGGCAGGAGTGGTGGACGGGAACCCGATGCGGGTGACTTTGTGTGTAGGAGCAAACAGGCCGTACTTTGGGAGGCACTGAAAATACCTATAGGAGCCAAGCAGAAGACAAGTCTCTCATTACTTCTTTAAATAAACAGTAAATACAGTCAAAATGTTAAACCGTATATCAAATGAGCTGTTTTCTGTTTTCTTTTATTAATCTTGAGCATCTGTCTGTGCTCCTGTCCCATGCCTCCAAAAGCCATAGCATTCACCATGTTCAGTGTGTTTGGGTTGGTCTTCCGAGGCGCAGCTCAGGTATTAGAGGAGAACAAACACCACAGTGGCTTCAACTGATGCAGCAAACTACACTCATCAGTGAGGATTTTCCTGTTTCTCATTGACTGGAAACACTGCTTATTCACTAATATTTTAGGTGATGTTACTGTTTTGTGCGTGAGTCTAATTGTTATCTCTGACTGAAAACACAGCTGCTTGTGTAAATGTGTTTTACCCTAACTCACCTTCCTCCAGCCACTGCTCCGTCATTCTTGCCTAGCGGCTCATCCAGCTCAACGCCACACCATTCTCCTTTCGCAAAGTCAGTTTCACCTAGAAATCGCACAACTCCTGCTTTGCTTCCACCGACCTGAAGAAAGCAATCAGAGTATGTCATCCACTGTGTAAAATATTTACTGAAATAGTTAGCAGTTCATTCCGCTGTGGCATCCCCTGATAAACAAGAGACTAAGCCAAAGTGAAATGAAGGAATGAGTGAATGCTTCAAGAAGGCAGAACAGAGTAAAGATGCTACAGAGCCGTCTCTCACCAGCACTCGATCGCCCAGCTTCAGTTCTCGCTGTATCTTCTTGGCTGAGTCCGTCTCAGAGAGATTGGATGCAGACTCACTGGCGGTGCGGGTCAGGTTGGAGGAGTTCCTGGTGTTCACAGTGGTGGTCTGCGGGGCAGCGGCAGGCTCTGTAAATATCCATGAAAATAAAATAAAGTTGCATTCATATTGTAATATATGCGCAGTAAATTAAAACATTACAATGCCAGTTTTCAGTCCCGCCCTCTCTTTATGTTTCAGTAGAGATTACGTCAAACATTAATAAACAATGCCCAATTCAAAGCACTTGACAGACCTTTAACAGGACCGCTGGTTTTGTCGGCGGGCGTCTGTGTGCCGTTGGGCTCCCGCTCCTGCACCGGGCTGCGGGTCAGTTTGGAGGGTCGAGTGAAGATCCCGTACAGGTCTTTGCACTGGAAATACCGCACTCCAGACACTGAACCGTCATTCTTCCCGATGGGCTCGTCCAGAACGATTCCTGCCCACTGACCCGGAGCAAACTGCGTTCCTCCGACGAACTGCACAAGACCCGGCTTATTTCCGTTCACCCAAACCCGCTCGCCCACAGAGAAATCTGACGCAGCATCCTGAGCTGAACTCGGGGAGGTTACGGCCTTCGCTCCGGCTGCAATAAAACAAATATAAACACATCAATCCTCAATTACTTATGCAATACAGTACGATATTTAATTATAAAGCACATTTAAAAACAACCAAAGTGCTGTACATGAGAGCACGTAGGACAGAGACGAAAATAAGATTGTTTCAGTCACAAAATAAAGCCACTTTAAGCTCAATATAATTCACCCCTTCAGCAATATTAGTGTTTGATTGTCTCCAGAACAAACCACTGTTATACAATGACTTGCCTAATTACCCTAACTTTACCCTAATTACCCTAGTGAAGCCTTTACATGTCACTGTAAGCTGAACACTAGTGTCTTGAAGAATATCTAGGCTAATATTATGTGCTGTCATCATGGTGAAGAGAAATAAATCAGCTATTAGAGATGAGTTATTAACACTGTTATGTTTAGAAATCTGCTCTCTGTTAAACAGAAACTGGGGAAAAAATAAAAGAAGTAAATAAATTAAGTTTATTTAGAGTAGATCTGCTTGATTGTTATGAACTCTGGGATTTTACAAAAAGAGTTCAAGTTGTTAAAGTGTCAAGTCATAATTTTAGGATATAATCTTAGATCTGCAAGACGTTAAAGTCATCTCTCTCTCTCTCTCTCTCTCTCTCTCTCCCTCTCTCTCTCTCCCTCTCTCTCCCTCTCACCTGTGTTTATTTCTTCACCCATTCGGGACTCACCTGAGGTCGGGGAGGTTTTGGTTGGTGCTGTAGCTGGTTTACCGATCTTGCTGGGCGGCTTGATGCCGCTGGGTTTCCCCGAACTCATGTTCTCTGTTTATGGAGCTGAATGTGCTACTCCTGCATGGCCTGGAAAAACCTCAACCCGCCCTGAGCAGACAGAAGAAACATACCACAACAGCACTGTCACAGGGCACCTGTTATGCAGAAATCTCTTCTATGTGGGGTTTGAACCCAGTTGTGTGTCAGCAGTGTGTGAATATCTCCAGCTTCCAATGGTCAACATGAATTAATTGTGTTTGTTATCAGGCTCATAGCCAGCCTATGGGGCCTAGGGGGGGTTCATGCTGCACTTTAGTGACACGCCAACTTTCCTGACTTTTTCCAAACTAGAGGTGTGAAAACATCCTGCTGAAACGGGGGGTTTCATGGCCCTTTAAGCACATTTTCTGCTGGATTAGCTTGTCAGATGGCCATCATAACCACACAGCACAAGATTTAGAATAAAGAAACATGAACACAAACTTTTTTTTAAACACTGAGTTCTTACATTATTTATCATTAGAATACCGGATGATGTTAAAGTTTTAAATCAAAAACTGCCCAGTGTCATTTATTAGGCAATAACAAACTGGCAGCACATTCAGCTGTCCTCCATCACTATTTGGGTAGTCACAGCAAAGCAACAGTCAACACATGATTTGTAAATCCTTCTTCGATGGGTTAGTTTCATAGGAATTTTTTACAGTTTATTACAGCAGTCAAAATAGGAAAATTAGGCACATGTATAGGACAAATTCTGGACCTTTGCCAGTGATGGGGTCTTACGAGTTACATCATGAACACTTGTTCAGCTGTTTTACATGTAAACACTTGAAGAATTTTAATTCTGATCTGAGAAAAGTTCCAAAAAGACTGAGAACAACTGTAATAATAATAATAATAATAATAATAATAATAATAATAATAATAATAATAATATACCACGACAACGCAGTGGCGCAGTGGGTAGTGTTGTCGCCTCACAGCAAGAAGGTTGCTGGTTCGAGCCTTGGCTGGGTCAGTTGGCATTTCAGTGTGGAGTTTGCATGTTCTCCCTGCATTTGTGCGGGTTTCCTCCGGGTGCTCGAGTTTCCCCCAAAGACATGTGGTACAGGTGAATTGGGTAGGCTAAATTGTCCTTAGTGGATGAGTGTGGATGAGTGTGTGTGGATGTTTCCCAGAGATGGGTTGCAGCTGGAAGGGCATCCGCTGCGTAAAAACTTGCTGAATAAGTTTGCGGTTATTCCGCTGTGGCGACCCCGGATTAATAAAGGGACTAAGCCGACAAGAAAATGAATGAATGAATGAATGAATGAATGAATAATATACCACCACCCCATCCATCACAGTAATGTAAAAACAGTAATTACACCAATATTATTTATATATGTATTCAATTATCCAATAATTGTATTTTATCACAGTTTTCTCAGTGTTTTTGGTGCATTTCTCACAGCACTATTTACATTTGCACAACAGTTCATGCATTTCTCAAAACAATTAGTACAAACTGCTAAACCTAGTGGATAACCAGCAAAAGCATGTCACTCGCTCAAAACGGAGAGCTCATTCCTCAAAATCAAGAACTGATGTCAATCAACGTGTCATCAAGATGAAGAGTCCTGACAACATTGTTTATGAACATGATAGTCAAATGGCTTTGTCCTGTTTTCATCATGACTCTGTACATTTGTTCCAATGCAAAATAAGTCTCTGAAACTGCTCATGACAGCACTGTATACTATTAGCACAGCCATTTAAAAACTACAGTAAAGTCAGACATCACTGCATTTATTCAGGAATCTGAGTACAACACACTGAATATGTATGTTTCACATGTTTACTGCAGATGCTCTTTGCAAATCTAATTTATTCACAGCATTGTGCAAAAGAATAAACACACCCTTATTTACAACAAACATACAATTCCTTTGGGTAGAGCCGTGCACAACTGTACACAATACTGCAGTACATATCTGAACTGAACCTGCAACATATACAGCTCTGTAAATCATTCATCAAATTGTTCAATTCAGAAGACGTCTTCAGGGAAAAAAAAAACTTTTAAAAATGTATAAAATATGCTTGACAGATTTGGACAACTAGTTCATCAGTTTTGTCTGTAATGACTAAAGTAATGAAATGAGGACTGTTAGTTTTATATGGAATGTATTTTCAGCGTTCACAAATGTTATAAACAGCAGAGAGTTGAATGAAAGCAATTGATGCATGTCCAAAAGCATTTGCAGTTTGTTGGAAGGAATGGGAAACTGCTACTAGGATGTGCACAAACGACTTATTGTTTTGAGAAATGCATTAACTGTTGTGCAAATGCGAATAGTGTTGTGAGAAATGCACCAAAGCGACTGAGAAACAGTGTAACATCTAACCCTAACCACATACACTCACAACAACCCAAAAACAGTAATTATACTGAGTATTACTCATATTATTTATTAAATTACCCTACCCCAACATTTCCTGAACACCTGCATGTTTATTTCCCTCATTTAAAGTATGAAACATGTTTACAGATTAATATTTGGGATTTTTCAATATAATATTAACATATGCTATCTCTGTAAATTTAAGTTTTGAGTTTTTACTGCAAATGTCACATCCATAATGCTGGAATTGCTCATATCTGAATGCAGGAAATCAGAAAGCTCATTGTTGTCATTGTTGGTCTGCTGTATTTTGTGATTGGTTTGTTTTATGCAGATGCACTCTCATAAAAAATCACCCCAATGTGTCTAACATCATAAATTCTTTCTGAATGATCTATTAATTTCATCTGGTGAAATAGCCTAATGTCGCAGTATACATCATAGAAAAATACATCACAATGGGAGTGTTTCCCAATATCAGGCAGTCCTATATTAGCTGAAGCAGATGCACAGAATTTCATTGAAGATTACCAAAACAAACATTTGTTTTCAGAGAATTATTTTGCAGTGATTAATATTGTTCACCTAAAGAATAAGATTGTACATGGTAAATTTTGATTTCAGGAGGACTTTAAAACGACTAAACTTATGGTTGCACAAGAGTAGATGATAACGTTATTTGCATACTGTTATTGCCCAGTTCCACCACAATAACACTCACTATTATAATACATAAACAGTTGAAATATACTTTCTGGGGTCATTATCTAAACACAAATAATAACAATGAAAGATGTAATAATAACATTTCAATAACAAGAACAATAATAAATCGTATAATCACTAAATCTGGACTCTGTTGATAGAATGGCTATATTATTGTTTATTATTTTTGCGAGCTAACGAAAACTAGCCAAACGTTCCCCATGACCACAAACATCACAACTGCCTGTGGATTTAGCATAATATCGCTTAACATGAATACACAATAGTCTGTTTTGTGTTATAAATTCAGCGTGTTTGTGTTTTTCATGTCTGTGACTTTTCGCGTCACAACAAACTGAGCGCTAGCCGACATTAGCACAGCAGCTAAATCCTGTCAGCGACACAAAGCGAAGATTTGGAGGAATAAAGTGTTGATTTCTCTTACCTGAACCGCTTTACTGTCACGCATTCCTCCGTGTTGAGGAGATGAAGAGAGGTGTGTGTGTGTGTGTGTGTGTGTGTGTGTGATGATGATGATGATGATGATGGGTGAGGCAGATCAGCACAATAAAGCTGCACCCAGACACTCACTTCTGACTGGACATCGAGCAAACAGCTATTACTGATAAACCGCCTTTATTAAATGATCTTTAGGGAGTTTCGTTGCTAAATAAGCATGATTATGTCGTTAAAATGCTCACACAGAAAATATTTGTTAAGGTGTGATATTCACCAATTTATTTTAAATAGTTTTAAGTCTGTTTGCGTATACTTTTCTTTTTGTTCTGTTATATTTAATATAAAATATTTTAAATACTGTTAAAAATCGTTACAGAAATATATAACTATGTCATGCATGGTCACTACTCGCCAATATACAAAATATATATTTTTGTGTTCAGCAGAAGAAAAAACTCAGATAAATCTGGAATAAGTGGAGGATGATGACGGAATCTTCATTTTTGGGTGAACTATCTCTTTAAGTCTGGAGAAAAACAGACATATTTTGGGGATTTATATTCATGAATGGATGTGAACGGGGGGTGTTTGCTTGCTGTGACGGCCACTAGTGGCCAGATCTGGGTACTGACTAAAACATTTTATTCAAAAAAGTTTAATTAATGTTATCAGAATTGCTTTATTCTATAGTTCAAAGCTGAACTAATCTAACAAAAAAAAACTAAAGAGTTCAGAATTAGTACACACAAATGTATATGTAAGTGTGTCCAGCACCGCTGTGAGGAATAAATACGGGTAGAAAACCAAACACAATAATAATCATACAGTGCTCAGCATATATGTGTACACCCCTCCCAAATCTCTCTTTTAAACTGATATTTTAAATAGGAAGCTCTACAATATTACATTTGTCCATATAGGTTAGATTACTCATTACTGAAGACAATACTGGAGCTAATCTAACAAAATAACTTACTATAATGCTCCAAACACTAACACAGAAACATTTTTATGTAGGTGAAAATTTTTAAATGCAAATTTAACAAAGAGGAAAAATCAAGTGAAGCCTACAGTATCTGGATACAGCCTTTATGGTGTGAGCTGAGATTCCATCACTCAGCAATGCAACGTTGGACACAATGCACTCAATGGAGCCAGCGACGTCACTGCGACGAGCCAGGGTTAGGGGTGGGGTTAGGTGAGCCCATTAAAAAGCATTTGATGCAGCTCAGATTGCACTTTCACAGGTCTGCATCCAGACCACTCTCAAAAAATTAACAACTGAGTTGAATTTTGTAGGTTGCACTTTTATTTTTGCAGTATTTTGCTGAAATTTGATTGTATTATTTTCCATTTCAAATATGTTTGGTGACTAGAATGTTATTTTAATAAATAAATCTGTTTAATAAATCTGTTTAGTTTAAATGCACCAAAATACATTGTCTATATTCACTGAGAAATGGAGAAAAAATAAAGGTGTACTCAATTTATGCTGAGCACTATCCCCCATCACAGTAATGTGAAAGCAGTTATTATACCAATATTGTTCATATGTTTATTAAATTACCCAATAATTGTATTTTATTAACATCTAACCCTAAACCCAACCATACCACTCGCAATGACATAAAACAGTAATTATATTGAGTATTGTTCAGATTATTTATTAAATTACCCTACCCCAACCATTTTTTTTTTTTGCTGAACACTTCTAATCAGATGCATATTAAATGATATTTACATTATAGTATAAAATCAGTAAATAAAATAAAAAGAAAGAAAAGCAAGAAGAGCAAGAGCTGATGTGCAAAACATTTACCATAGAGCAGAGGCGTTTAGTTTTTGGAGTATATTCACAGTTCTGCTTGCTTGAAAGTCCTTGAAGAGATTCAAAGTAACTTTGTAATCAGCCTTTTAATGGCAGATATTAGGCTTCCTCTCTGTCCATGTACATGTGTGCATATGAAACTTGCCTGATAATATCCAAAGATTTAACATAAACAGGAGATTCTTATCTGTTTCCTTTATATCTATGCACTAAATACACTGAAATGAGATAAGATTTCTGCAAAATTGTTGCAAATGATTTTTATGGGTTGAATTTGAACAGGGCGTCATGGTGGTGCAGTGGTTAACACTGTGGCCTCACAGCAAGAAGGTCTCTGGTTTGAGTCTCGGCTGGGTCAGTTGGTGTTTCTGTGTGGAGTTTGCATGTTCTCCCTGTGTTGGCGTGGGTTTCCTCCGGGTGCTCCGGTTTCCCCCACAGTCCAAACACATGCGCTATAGGGGAACTGATCAACTACACTGTCTGTGTGTGTGAATAAGAGTGTATGGGTGTTTCCCAGTACTAGGTTGCAGCTGGAAGCAATAGTATCTGGATGCAGCCTTTATGATGCAAGCTGAGACTGCATTACTCAGCGATGCAATGTCAGACACAATGCACTCAAATGGAGCTGGTGACGTCACTGTGACGGGTAGGGTTGGGGGTGGGGTTAGGTGAGCCCATTAAAAAGCATTGGATGCAGCCCAGATTGCACTGCACCAGGTCTGCAGCCATTCCATTCTCGCTGGAATGGCATCTGCTGTGTAAAACACATGCTGGAATAGTTGGCGTTTGATTCTGCTGTGGCGACATTAAGACAAGGTGGATTAAGACAAAGGAAAATGAATGAATGAATGTTTTGGTTCACTGACACCCAGCAAAAGCCTCCCCGGGCCTGCTGGTCTTGCATATACAATACTATAATCACACAGAGGCTGGAAATATCCTTCATGGTTTAATAACCCTGCAGAAAAATCCAGCTTAAACCAGCCTAGGCTGGTTGGCTGGTTTTAGCTGGTCGACCAGGCTGGTTTTAGAGGGGTTTTGGCCATTTCCAGGCTGGTTTCCAGCCATTTCCAGCCTGGTCTTAGCTGGTCAGGCTGGAAACTGACAGCTAAATCCAGCTAAAACCAGCTTGACCAGCCTGGTTTAAGCTGGACAAGCTGGTTTTGGCTGGGCTCCCAGCCTGGCTAGGCTGGTCAAGCTGGTTTAAGCTGGTTTTTCAGTAGGGAACTGTAAGAGATATCTTTTGTAAACCCAATTATAATAAAAATTGATTTATTCTTATATCTGACAATTTTATTATTCCATATTATTTGATTATGAGGAGAAGTATTGTGTTTATAAGAATCCAATATAAAAGAGCCTGCCTATGAAAATTAGATAACTCAACTCAATGGGGAGTTTATTAATCTTAAAGTCGCACTTTAAAAGAAACTTTATACCACCAACTTTTTCAATAATAAGATTAAGGAGTATATACCATATCTAATTTTAATAATATAATGTTTTGTACCCTACACCTTCCTCACAGTAACGTGAAAGTGTCACAAATGTCTGCGCATGCGCAGTGTGTCCTGCAGCGCCGCTGTGAGGAATAAATAAGGGCAGGAAAGTGAGCGCGGTGGCGATGGGACAGCGGGTATTCGTGTGCCCTTCCGCCTATTAATAATAATAATAACAACAGTAATAATATTTAATATTATCTCGGTATGAGCGTGACCCCCGGTGGCTTATAGCGGCTCTCTGCGCTCGAGTGTCCGGCATGGAGGAGCAGCAGCTCGGCGCGGCGCTGGACAAGAGCGCGGCGGAGCTCAGCGTCATGGATGTGTACGACATCGCGGCGGCGCTGGGCCTGGAGCTGGAGCGGGTCATCGAGCGCACCGGCGCGGAGCTCCTGTCCCGGCTTGTGCCGCGGGTCGTACGGGTGCTGGAGCTGCTGGAGGTGCTGGTCAGCCGGAGCTCCAGCAGCCCGGACACCGACGAGCTACGGCTGGAGCTGGATAGACTGCGGCTGGAGAGACTGGAGCGCCTGGAGAAGGAGAAGAAGCACAAGAAGGTCAGTTCAAAACTCTCATAACTGACTACAACTATAACCAGATGACTAGAGCTGTATTCAGAGCCACTGCTGACTAACTAAAACTATAACCAAATAAAACTGACCAGTCCAGACGGACTGTTACTGTAATCACAGCCATTTACTACTGACTGACTACAACTATAACCAACCGATTATAACTGTAGCCCAATGCCCATAACTATAGCCAGAGCTAGTGCTAACCAACTATAATATAACAAGCAGCACTACTGACAGACAGCTCTGATTTATACACACTAGTCAGAACTCAGCTCAGAGTGATGTCAGATTTAATTAACATCTATCTATCTATCTATCTATCTATCTATCTATCTATCTATCTATCTATCTATCTATCTATCTATCTATCTATCTATCTATCTATCTGTCTATCTATCTGTCTGTCTGTCTATACATCTATCCATCGGTCTATCTATCTATCTAGATAGATAGATAGATAGATAGATAGATAGATAGATAGATAGATAGATAGATAGATAGATAGATAGATAGATTGACTGATTGATTGATTGATAGATAGATTAAGTCTATGAGAGCTTTATATTTGAGATAAATGCTGAACTCTTGTGTTTATTCTTCATCAGAGCATCATAAACACTGACCTGTACTGAGCAGCGCTGTGTGTCTTTAACTGATCATTGAGTTAGACTGATCTCTGAAGCGTCTCTGAGCATGTGCTGCGCTCAGAACACAAGGACTGGACACAGGAAACTCCAGTTCAGGACAGGAAGTGATGAAACTGTAGTCCATCCTGTGACATCATCACTGAGAGCAGATGTGACCCGGCGAGCTGTATGCGGTGTGATGCTGTTGAGGGTTGTGAATGCTAATCATTTATTTATGTAACTGTTAGTTGTGTGTGTGTGTGTGTGTGTGTGTGTGTGTGCAGGAGCTGGAGCTGGTGGAGGATGTATGGAGAGGTGAAGCTCAGGATCTCCTCTGTCAGATCTCTCAGCTGCAGGAGGAGAATAAAACTCTGCTCAATAATCTGTCCATCAGAGAGAGTCCGCTGACGGAGGAGGACATCCAGAAGCAGGAAGGTGTGTGTGTGTGTGTGCGTGCGTGTGTGTGTGTGTGTGTGGACATCCAGAAGTAATAAAGTAGAGCACAAGGTCAGAAACACACTAAAACATAACACACACACACTGAGCTCACTCACTGAGGCTATAAACACTCATAACACACACACACACACACACTCACACACACTCACATGACCTCTGCTATAAAAGTTATACAACATTAGCATTAGATTTCTACTTGTTGTGCACTCTGATTGGCTGCTGCTCACTCTCAGCTGTTTATTTATTGTCAGATAAAGGCACAGCTAAAGTAGTTCTGGCAGGTTTAGAGCACATTACAGCTCCATATCACTCCGCTGAATGATCAGAGTTATTACACAGCTACAACAGCAGCAGGAGGAGATGTGGAGGACAAAATGAGGGTTATAATAATTTTCCAGCTCAATATTAGTGTGTTACATTCCTCCTGCATCATGTGACAGCACAGCAGTGTGCATATGACAAACACCNGANGACTCACTAGCCANAGCCGCACATAGGGGATAGTGTGCACTAGGTAGTAAGCAAGTATTTCATTGGAACACAGTTTTTTGTTGCTAGACAGGAAGCGGAACACACACACACACACACACACACACACACACGTGTGTGACACTGCCCACAGGAATTCTCACACACATTCTTTTAGGCATCAGGAATGAACATAAACAGGACACACAGCACAGCAGCTCTTCTGTGACTGAAGACAGGGCCGAGTGCGCACACACACACATATATATACACGCATACACAAATGTGTATTTATACAAACACACTCAATCACTCTCTCTCAAACACACACATTCATATACACACAGAAACACACACAAACACACACATACATACATGGACAATCATGAAGAAGGAGGTTTAAGTCAGCTGATGGCTAGTTGTGCTTCTGCTGATTGAGAACCAGAAAGAAGCAACATGGAAACCTCAAAAGAACTTCCTGATGACCCAAACACTAGGATAATCCACCAACATGAGTCAGGAGAAGGAAGCAAAGAGCCATCACAGAGGATTAAAGTCTCTATCTCCACTGTCAGAAGTATAGTCAGAAGATGGAAGGCCACAGGAGACCAGGGGTTGGGAACCTTTTTTTTCAGCAAAGAGCCATTTTAGATTTTTTGGGGGGCAAATGTGTTTTCTAAAGAGCCATTTGGGGTGTGTGTATATATAAATATGTGCATAATTGAGTACACCCCATTTTGAAAAATAAAAATGTAATCAATTTCTGAGTACATATAAGAACTATATTTTGGTACATTTGATCAAAATACATATATTTATACATAATATATTAATTAAAACAATGTTTTAGTCACCAAACACTTTAGTAATAGAAAGATAATGCAATTAAATTCATGCAAAATTAAAAAAATTTACAAACTACAAATTTTTTGTTTCTCATGAATGTTGCTCTTTAAAAAAAATATATATATATATATATTTAGAGGTCACTAGGTCAAATACAAACTATGACCTTTTATTAGGCTACATGCAGATATAAATTAAAAGATAAAGTGATTACT